AAGAGGAGGAAGGTCAGTTCGCGCCGTCTACGGCATTTAGTCTCTCCACGTGCAAAACAGCAACTTTGAATCTGAGGTGGCTTGATGTGTCCCTGAACACAAAAAAAAAAAACAAAACAAAACCTCACATTTTTTCCAGCACATCGGGCTTTCAAGATCGTTTCATTTTTGTTTATAAGTTTGACCGATCAAGATTGCGCAACACCAATTTTCCCATGTGTTGTAATTTGCAGCGATGACATTTCAGGAAAAAAAAAAAATCACCTGTCGCTGAACCCTTGGTACATAAATATTCCAAAATAGTATATTTCTATATTACGTATTATATAATTGTGATTGTATTATTTTATTATGATTAGGAAAACTTTGGGCAGATTTGAAAAAAAAAATAATTCAGACAAGTTTACTTACATTTCTAATTAAAAAAGGGTGTAATTGAAGCCGTGCGCCCATGAAGTCAGTCGGCTCGTCATCCACTCAAGCCAAAGAAGCGGCAGCCATAACGACAGCGTCGCAGTTTGACACCCCCTAATTAAAGTGACGCCATTTTGGGTGACGGCGTGTGTTCTGGGCGAGCCGCCACTCAGGTTGTGACTCTGAGCCCCCCTTTAATTCCTCCCTGACGCCGCCTATTATCTCTCTTTCCGCCATCTTTTCCTCGCCAGGGCCATTTCAGGTAATCAGCCACTTAGTGCCATTATCCCCTCGTCCCCGGGGCAAATACCTACCTTGCACACACACACACACACACACACACACACACACACACACACACACACACACACACACACACACACACATATTAAGGCGCAATCCGGTGCATTTCCTGTAAATCAGCCTCTCACTTTCTCCCGCCGGGTCCTCCAGGAGGTAGGCGGGGTCAACTGTGGTGGCACACGGGGTCGGGCCCGCAGAATGGGTGACCTCAGGTTTCAAAGTAGGGTTCACGTTTCAAAGTAGGGTTTCGAACTAGGGTAAGGGTTCCAATTTAGGGTTCTCATCTGGGCTCGCGCTTCCTTGGAGACCCCAGGCACTAACTTCGTGTAATGACCGCTGATTGGGGAAAGCACAAAGAGGGGCTTTCTGCAGGGGGGGGGTTCTGACATCCGCGCACACGCAGCGACCTGAGCATGCTGTCGGTGAAACAAGGCCGACGAGCCCGCGTCGGCGACGTCAGTCAAGAGCCAACCGTGAAATCGGGACGCAGCTGAGGGCTCTCCTTGAATTTGGGGGCAGTTCAAGAGAGAGGGGCCGCTGCACCTGCAGGCCTGGAGCCAGTAGAGGGGGCTGCCACGTGAGATGAAAACTCGTCCGCTCACACGCGCGTCTGCCCAATGACGACTTAAAAGGCGACACGCGCGCGCGCGACCATGTCGGCGCAGTACCGAATAGAAGCGAAGGACTCCGTAGAGTTGAGAATGGAAGCTGGGGAGAAAAGAGAAAGCGTGGAGGTTTCTCTCCTTGAGAACGCGTTTCCACACCTGTAACTGATCGATTGCTCATTCCGCGATTATTTTGAATTAATATGCACGTGACGAGCGTAGGCGTGTCTTAGTCTTAGATCAATTGTGCGCGCGTGCGTCTGTGATGGTGCCGACTTTCATTCACGGACTTTGCGCTCAACAAATACAGTTTGGTTGATTGATTGACAGGAGTTCGGAGAGTGCGAAATTGAAGCGCGCGGGGGGAGGGGGGGCAGGGAGGGTCTGTAGCGAAGGAAATAGAAAGAAAGGATCATGGACGTTTGGGTGAAAGCGGGAGCGAGGCAAAAGACGGCCGGCGAGAAGAATAAAGGAGTCTTTACATGTTTGAGGAACCAGCAGCTCACAGCACTTAAAGCACGTAATTTAAGACATATGGATGTTATTAGGACCACTGTGTCTGTGTGTCGCTCACTACACCGCACTGTGTGTGTGTGTGTGTGTGTGTGTGCGCGCGCGTACGTGTGTGCACGCGCGTGCGCCGCAGGCTACAGAAAGACAGTCACGTTTTTGTGGTGCAGCAGAATGACTGCTGAACAATTGCCCCAACCAGGTCCCCCGCACCCAGGACCTTGCTCCCCTCCTGTGCCCAGTTTGGAACGTCCCAAAATGTTGCAGATTCCCCAATTTGGACACCTCCAAAAAAACATTTGTGTTTTCCCAAATCTGGATATGCTGCGGCGATCTTGTGACGCGCCACTACAAACGTGATCGTTATTTTATATTCTGTTTGAGGAGCATGTGTAAAATAGTTAGCATGTGGCTAATGCTAAACACCCGCCTTGGTTAAAAGCAACACTGTGTGTCGGACCCGGATCTTCAACTCAACTTCGAGAGCGCTTTAAAACAACCACAGCTGCACATGAGGTGAAAATCAAACGTATCAAAACGAAGGCAGTTAACAGAGTAAACGAATAAGACGGATTGACCAACAAGCAGCATTTTGCCGGCCAAATTTACAAACACCAAAAAGATTTTTATTCAAAGGAAAATCGCTTCGAGAAAGATGCTCATCCATCAAACGGTAATTATCCCCACGACCACAAACATACTCAAGAGTCGAATCGGTCGTTTGTCATGAAGTCACATCTGGGAGACTTCGTTTCGTACCAGAAATGAATCCACGATTGTATAAATATCCCCTTCGGGCCGTCAGCATTTTTGTGCGTCGCATCGCAAACGTATAAATCATCTCCGCGCATAAACATCGCCGCAGTTGGGCCGACTCCAGGGAGAAAATAGTTTGCGCTTGTTCCTGGGGCGGCCCGCGGTTAAGATGGCGGCCATCAACTGAAAGAAGAACGTGCGGGCGATGGCGCCATCCACCCGCGGCCTCACCCGACCCTCGGCTGCGCCGTCTCTCCGACGCCCCCGACGGCAACGCTGATCCGTCTCTATTCCATCCGCGCTCGCAGGTGTTCGCCAAAGTGTTCAGCCACGAGGCCTTGGAGTCGTACCTCCCCAAAATCCAGCAGGTGATCCAGGAGAGCCTGCGAGTGTGGAGCTCCAACCCCGAGCCCATCAACGTCTACAGGTAAAAGCCGGCGGCACCCGGCGGCACCCGCCGCGCTCCCGAGCGGCGTCGCCCTGAGCGGGAATGCTTGCGCCTTTCCGCAGGGAGAGCCAGCGGTTGTCCTTCACCATGGCGGTGAGGGTGCTGCTGGGATTCCGGGTCTCCGAGGAGGAGATGAGGCACTTGTTCTCCACCTTCCAGGACTTTGTCAACAACCTCTTCAGCCTTCCCATCGACATGCCCTTCAGCGGCTACCGCAAGGTACGCTCGCCGCGCCTCCCGCCGGGGGGGGGGGGACGACCCCGCGCGGAAAACCCGAGTGTGATTTTTCCCCGCCTGCGCGTGCAGGGCTTGCGGGCGCGCGACAAGCTGCAGAAGAGCATCGAGAAAGCCATCAGGGAGAAGCCGCTGTGCACGCACGGCAAAGACTACAGCGACGCCCTGGACGTCCTCATGGACAGCGCCAAGGAGAACGGCGCCGAGCTCACCATGCAGGAGCTCAAGGTTGGGGCCCGAGGGGGGGGTTCTTCGCGTGCACGGGATGCGCGCCGGCGCACTTGTCGCGTCGCTCATCAATCATCCGAGCGAGGGCGCGAACACGAGACGCGCACGCGCAGAGTAGCGTATGGGCACGCCCTCTGTTTACCTATTCAAGTCATTCTGAGGAATTCTGTGGAAACTCAACTCGCGCTCGCTCTCTCTCCATGTGGTTTCTGGGTTAAGTCCAGCGCCAAAAATAAGTCAACACTCCCCCCGGAGGGGTCTGAAAGAGGCCTCCTGTACACACACACACACACACACACACACACACACACACACACACACACACACACACACACACAGAGTGAACTGGGGAGGCCCTGTCGCGCACACGCAGCAAAGAGCCTCCGTGTTATTTACTCCGCCGGCCGCCTCTTCCTGCCAACAAAACGTCACATTTGCCAACTTCCCGCGGAGGCCAACGTGACATATTTGCGCATTGTTGCAGGAGTCCACCATCGAGCTGATCTTCGCCGCCTTCGCCACCACGGCCAGCGCCAGTACCTCCCTCATCATGCAGCTCCTGCGCCACCCGCCGGTCCTGGAGCGCCTACGTGAGGAGTTGAGGGTGAGGGGCTTCCTCCATAACGGCCGCCTGTGCCCCGAGGGCCAGCTGCGTCTGGACACCATCGTCAGTCTCAAGTACCTGGACTGCGTCATCAAGGAGGTTCTGAGGCTCTTCACGCCCGTCTCTGGGGCCTACCGCACCGCCATGCAGACCTTTGAACTTGACGTAAGTGGGGAAGCCGTCCCCCCGGGAATGGCGTCGCGAGGGATCGTTGGTTAGCTTGCCCGACGATCACGCTAATCGATTTGAACAAGTACTGTACTTTATTCGACTGGGGCGCCGAGACCACTTACAGGTCTGGTTCTCGGGTGCCATTTTGAGGAGATTGGTTCGAAAAAAAAAAAAAAAAAAAGAGCCAGTGCTGTGATTGGGTCTCGGCTTAAAGTGCTTAATTCTGGACCGTAGGAAGGACAGACAAGCAAGTCACTTTTCTTGCTCTGAGGCGACATTTTGGGGGTTGTCTCGTTGGCTTTCAATTATGTCATGTGGACAATTAGTTTGGGATCAATATGAATGTAAAGAGACCTGTCAATTCGTATTGCTTGTTCCCGCCAAACTACAGTCCTATGTTGTACGACACACCTCAAAGTAGTGGTGTCGTTGTCTGTGTGTGTCTGGGAAAGGTGACCAGGCAAAAAAAAAATTCTGGACGCGGCGGAGGATTGAAACAACGTTGACGGATTTGAAGGACTGTGAAAAGTTGCAAGTTCAACAATTCTGTCTTGCCGTTTCAAGTTGTTACATTTCATTTTTTTCTTTGGACCAATATAAGTCGAACGGGACAATTTCCCGATGCCTTGTAAGGGACCCAAAAAAGCTTTTTGGTCTCTTGACAGCGGAGTCGCTAAACTGTCATCATATCCTATCCATCGACGTGAGCGCAAATCGGCGGTTGTTTTCTTCGACCTTCTGAACCGTTTAAAACATTTTTTATGTGTGTATGTGTGCGTCTTTCGGCCTGCAGGGGGTGCAGATTCCAAAAGGCTGGAGCGTGATGTACAGCATCCGGGACACCCACGACACGTCGTCCGTCTTCAAGGACGCGGATGCTTTCGACCCCGACCGATTCAGCCAGGAGCGCGGCGAAGACAAGGAGGGGCGCTTCCACTACCTGCCCTTCGGCGGCGGCGTCCGCTCCTGCCTGGGCAAGCAGCTCGCCACTCTCTTCCTGCGCATCTTGGCCATCGAGCTGGCGAGCAGCAGCCGCTTCGAGCTGGCCACGCGAAACTTCCCCCGCATGGTCACCGTGCCCGTGGTCCACCCGGTGGATGGGCTGAAAGTCAAGTTCTACGGCCTGGACTCCAACCAGAACGAGATCATGGCCAAGTCGGAGGAGCTGCTCGGCGCCACCGTGTGAAGGCGGCGACCCGAGGAGGGAAAAGAAGGACGCCGCATTTTTCTTCTCCGCGCTTTCAGACTACAAGGAACATTTTCACCTCCCCGTTCCGTCGGGAAAGGAAGAAGCTGCCATAAGGATTCTGCTCTCATCTCAACAAAAAGTGATGGAATATCATTGGAACACCTCGTGGGGGTGCGTGGGGAGTGGAGGGGGGTATGGGGGGCGGGGGGTGAGGTGTCGATAGGCAAGTTGGATCAAACAGGGTACCGGAGGACAGGAAGCAAAGGCTTTGGGGGAATTTCCTGAATCCAAATTGGCCAATCATCGTAGCAGGGTAAACGGGGGCGACGAAGATCCGGTCATCCGGAGGCAGTCTCTTTTCTGTCCTTCAGTCTTTTTTTTTGTTTTTCTCCTCCCCCTCCCTAAATCAAAAGTAAAACGCAAGCCGGGATCTTTGAACCGTTTTGTCTGTTGATCGTCCGACTACTTTCCCACAAAAACTAAAATGTCAAGTTCAACTGCGTTCCCAAAGAGTGAAAGTCACCTTTGGATGAAACGTGTTTGGCTTTCCAAAAGGCTCTCCAAAGGCTTCTCTTTTGTTGTTGGGAAGATCGCACGGGGTTGTTGCTGTTGTTGCCTTCCAGCCTCCCGATTGGCGAAATCTACCCTGCCTGCTCAGTTCCTCGACCATTTCAATGGAAAATTGCCATAAGGGAACGCATCGTAAGCTAACCGGCACCCGCCGCTTCCATTGCCGACCATCGCTTGCTCACAGCTAGCATCACAAACACCAGCACGCTTGGAGGGGGGGGGGGGAGAAAAAAAAAGCCCACTTGACATGCAAATGCTGCTCGTCCTTGTCTTGTCGTCGTGTTAGTTTTGAACGTCGCGTCGCTCCCGCTTTGCTGCTCCTCGCAAGACGAGAAATCACAGCGGAATCATTCCATCCGAGCAGCCCTCAAGCCAACCAAAAGCCTGAATGGCGCCGACCACGGAGGTTTTAGCTCGGGCAAAAAGGAACCACCGATGGCGCGGCCGGCGGTCCTGTCTTAACACACCACTGACTTGTTCGGGGAAAACAGATGACAAGTATTCTCTTTGCTGCTTCTTTGTGACGTCGTCTCACGGAGAGTTCTAGATGTCCAAACTTGTTTTGTTTGTTGTCAAACTCACGTTGTTTCCTGACTAGATACACGTAGCTCGGCGCGCTAGCTAACTAGCACAGAATTTTCTGCGCCCACTGCAATGAGCGCGACTAATAAACAGTACAAACACACACGGAAATAAACAGTGCATCATTTTAAGATCGGCATTTTGTTAAAAAATAAAAAAAAAAGGCAAAAAGAGCGCTAACATGCAACTGTTTTTCATCATTTGTGTGATACTAAAGCAAAAGCTCGCAAGTCACGGGAAAAGAAAAATCAGCTATTAGCTAATAAATAACCTAATATTAATGTTATTATTGTTGTTCTATTTTTTAATTCTACTACAGAGTTATTTTAGTTTTGAGCCGAAATGAAAAAAAAAAAGGTCTTTGGAAAATACTGGATTTCTATAGAATGTTATGTATTTCATTTATATTGTGTACACAGTGTTGAAATTGTTTATAGTGTTATTAATTGATGACTGTAATTAAGCCGCGTTTTGTTCTTCAGACTTCTTATCGCTGCATTTTATTTGAAATTAATTATGGAAAAACGCAAAGCACTTGGGGGAAGATTATTTTTCAAGGGCCAAGCGACTACATGTTTTTTTTTTTCTTTCCTGATGCTTTGTCTGAACGTCCTGTACATATTCTTTTCATAGGAAATATGTTGCTTAGCTGAATGATGAATGTCGTCGTTTTTGTAACCGTGATTGTTCAATGTACTCCTGCAATAAACTATGTAGTTTAAAAAAAAAAAAAAAAAAAAAAAAAGTTGTGTTGGGGACTCATTGCAATGTTAGGACAGGGATGTCAAATTGATTTATGTCGCGACCCACATTGGAGTAACGTCGTCCCTCGGAGGGCCGTTACGACAGCGAAACCGAATAAATGTTTACGTCATCATCTCATCGAATTATTACTTGTACGCAACATTTTGACGGACTTCTCGTTTTGGAATCACTCAAGTCAACTGGTTGTTGGTTGCTCAATTGTTGTTCAAGTGAGTGTAAACGGGGTCACAAAATGATTGCAAAATGTCAGCGTTATTTATTCGACATGACAATTTGAGCAGGGCTCGTGCGAGTCGACACATATGATTAGCTTTTGCGGGCCACATGAAATGAGGTGGCGGGCCGGACCTGGCCCCCCGGGCCATGACTTTGACACCGGTGCCTTAAGATGTTTTCTTCAATTCAAAATACATTGAAGGCATAGAGTGTTCCAAATGCCGCGCCGACCCCCTTGCGGGACGGGAAGGACCCAAGACAACTCCTCAAGTTTTGAGGACTCTCGTGGTCAAAGGTCAAGGTGAATCCAAATGGGTCATGAGCGCAACATCGCTCACTCACATAACGGTGGCCACACGTCAAAACACGAGACCCAAGGACAAGTCGGCGGCGAAAGGCCGGGCGGAAGTTTTTCCGTAGACTTCTTCCATCTTGACGGGAAACAGAAGAGAGAAAATACACCTACACACACACACACACACACACACACACACACACACACACACACACACACACACACGCACACACACACACACACTTCATGTGCGCTAAGTGCTTCAAGATGACGAAATCGCACGTCCTGACACATGACATCCGACACCGGCTCGCAGGAAATGATCAGCGATCGCTATTGCCCAAGCAACCGGAGCGCTGAGGCTTCCGGAAAAAGTGAAAGTGGATCTCCTCTTCTCCGATGACTTTTCTTATCGCCTCCCCGTGACCTCGCAGGGCCAAAGAAATCAATGGAGACGTTGGCCGGGGGATGGGCGGGGGGGGGTCTCATATGTGACAGGCGGGCTGCTTGCGGATTTCTAAGCGGTGCGCATGTTTACGCGACGTTCTGATGTCATTGGACACACTCACCGGCAGCGTTGCCGGCCTTCCAGGAGGAACAATGGCCTCTTTCTGTCTGACATTTGTGAGCTTATAAACTGGGGAGGGCTGACTTAATATTTTGCTTCTCAAGAAACAACTTTCTCCAAACGTTTCTGACAGCTCGAAGCTTCTTGCACAAGTCAGCTGACAATCTTTCCCCACTCTCTCTCGAACGCTTGCAGGACTTCTTTCCTGGCCCAGTTCATCTTTTTCCAAATGCTTTTCTCCGGGATTGAGATCCGTTCTTACGACTTTGACCGTTCTTTGGTTCTTTGGAGGAATGCTTACATGGAGACATGACCTTCCGCATAAACAGCGCGTCTTGGATTTGGTCATCAAAATACCTTGGTAAGGCGCAAATGTCATGATTTCATCCAAATATTGAAGGTCTAAGTCTCGGTTTAGGTCTCTGCTACCAGTCTCACAAAAAATAGTTCTTGCACCAAGTTCAACTGTTTTCTTTTTTTCCTTGAAAGCGAGTCATATCGAACCATTTGTTGCTTGCTTCAGCTCAATCCAGCAAAAGACTTGCCAGTCATCTGCGGACGCCAGATCCGAAGCCTACAGCGGCGCTGGCCGAGGATTCCCTCTGGCGCGCCTGACATTGTTTTAACGAGTAATCTAATTGCAAGCTAGCGTCAGAGTGAGAAGCAAATGACCAGCCGACACCCAAGAAGACGGCGGCGGCGGAGGCTCGATGCGCTCCACATGAATCTGTCTGGGCTCGTAATCGATGGATTATATTCCAGGACGTAGCCAGGTCCAAAACCGCCGCAGCTGGCTAAGGACTGCCCTCTGGGCCGAGGCGTCGCTAATACCTCGAGCGAGTCACAGATCAGTTGCTTTGTCGGGCTCATGTAGCACATCACTTATGGCGTCGCCGTGGAGACCGTGGCTGCCGTTTTTTTGGTCCAAACCAGCAACACCAGCATCCATCACTGGGTGCAAGTTCCAACACTGCTCAGTGGAGTCTGCTACTTAACAGACCATGTGGCACAATTCAGATATGGGCTAAAAAATCACATGTAAATACAACCTCTCCCAGTGCGACTGCAGCGGCAACACGCAGATCAGAACGGCAATACAACCGAAACGCCACAACCGGTGATGCACAGAAAAAAAAATTTGTCAAAACACTGGCTGTGAATCTAAACTACGGCAAAATCACCGAGATAGACCAAGTATGGATCAGATGGTGCACGAACGGTGTACCGAACATACATATGACGTATACATGGACATGAGGTGCCTAACGCAAGAAATATGTTGGACGCCAAATTAAAAATTAAAATTCTCCAAAACATGAGCCATGACATAAATGTCAAGATTAGAGGTGTCAGAAGATGTCCCCCTCCAGTCCCCCGATTGCTCTCTGATGTTAACGTTTGGCCATGTCTACCTATTTGAGGTGTTCAGTTCATGAGGACCGAATTTTGCACTTAAACTCTGTGCTGTATACTGTACAAGACAAGACTCGATTGTCTGTGCAACACACACACACACACACACGCACACACGCACACACACTTGCGTCGGCCCTAAATTCTCAACTGGAAACGTTTCTCTTTCTGTTGCTAATTTACACTCGCGCGGCGACCTGCTTGGCTGCTGCTCTGGGCGTCGCGCAAACTGCTGATGTGCTGAGATTTTCTGGCACGCCATCCGTGTACCACAACGTGGCTGTGCACGCGCGCACGCGCGTGTGTGAAATAAATGGAGGGCTACTAAATGAACGGTCCTTTCTCGGAGACATTCATCTTACCGTGGCGGGAGAGATGGGCGAGTCCAAAATATTTATTTCGCTCATCAATCAGCGAGGACGGGGAAGAAAAGTGCGTGTGCGTGCAGTGTGTACAAAAAGAACAGCAGGTAGAGCTGAAGGCCACTTTTAGTGGCGTGGCTCGAATTGTTGCTCCTGTGTGTGTGTGTGTGTGTGTGTGTGTGTGTGTGTGCGCACGTCTGCAGTGGCACTCCAACCGGCATTAATATTTGGGCTTGGGTCTGCCTGCCAAGTGACGTCGTCGTCAGGCTATGCTGCGGTTCTGAGACATACACTGCACACACACACACACACACACACACACACACACACACACACACACACACACACACACACACACACACACACTCACACACACACAAGCTTGTGGCGACGTGACATAGGAGAAACACTGCTGTGATCCATTTGAAACCTGAGCTACTGTTGACCTCAAACGACGACTCACAATCTGCTTTTTCCCCGCCCTGTGTCTCTGCGAAGATGGCTCAGCGCGGTGTGTGTGTGTGTGTGTGTGAGGGTGAGAGACCGATGGGAATATGACGTCAGTGATGAGTTGTCAGGGCCAGCAAGGCCTTTTCTGCTGGTCAAATCACGGTCAGAAAACATTTACATGACTCCCAACA